TAATTAAGAAAATGCCTTACAGCTGGATTTTACAGAGACATTTTCTCTATTGAAGTTCCCTCCTTTCAGATAACTCTAGCTTGTGTAACCTTACAATTAGCCTTACACAAGCTAGAGGAGTCAGCATAGCCATGCTAGTGTAGTTAGAGGAAGAGATAAAGCTTAGAATGAGATAGTAGCAGAGAGGCTTGTATCAGTGTTAAATTGGATGGGATAGGTGCTTGGTCATTCAGAGGGTCCCAGCCACTTGATAAGATACACAGAGGTCTGGGGCGAGGGGTAGGAATGGGGGTGGGATAAGCAGCTGGCCTCGAAAGCAGAGTGGCAGAATTGTGATGGAGCAGACTTTGAAGCAGCTAACACACTGTGGCTTATGTTAAGGCACTGTAGAGAATGAGGTAATGTCATTCCAATTATGGACTTATTGTAGTTTGGCAGAGCATGAGGTAAGACAGGTCGTCTGAAATAGATTTCTGTCTGATTATCCTGGAAGGTGTCATGATCCCTTTGTGATCTGATTACATTTTGTTTTGCTGGGCCTTATTATTTCTCTACCTGTTTATGGCAAACAAAACCAGAAACCTTTTAGAATGTCTTGTCAACCTCCCTTCTTTTTTAGCTTCCATTTTGTCCGATGCAGGATGGGATGTGTTGGAGCCAAGTACGGGGACCACCCTAGTAGTTCTTTTTTGTTTTGTTTTTTGTTTTTTGGTTTCTTGAAATAGGGTTTCTCTGTGGCTTTGGAACCACTGTAGTTCTTATTTCTTTAGACCCTTCTGTAAATTGTGAGTCTTCCCAGAATGTGCATTTGGCTGAAATTTGAGAGACTTGTAGCTTACAGCTTTGCTATTTGGTTCTCTTTAATTTTCATGTTTTTCTTGTCTGCCCATCACTCTTGATTCATGCTTGCAGTTATTTAGAAATGGTCAGGCAAGGTTCTCTCACAATAGTCTTTGTCTTTTCAACAACCCTTGAATATGTCTCTAAGCTCATTATTTTAAAATGAAAAATAAAAATTTTAAATGACACTGATTGTGTTTAATATGCACACATGTCTGATTGGGTGAATACTGACAGAAGGCCAGGTTTCTTTTGCCTTACTTAGATCTTTGATGAAGTCCCTGTTTATAGCCATCATTTAGGATATTTGTTTAAAAGTTACTTCAATCAACTGTCCATTAAATGATCAGAAACGATAGAATTGAGTGGGATTAATAATCTGGAAAATTAGCATCCTGAATAATTTATCTGGAAATTTAAGAGCAACTGGGTTAGTCCTGAAAACAGTGACATCATTGTTACTACTGCTACTCCTGCTGGCATTGTCAGTCTCCTGTTAACTAGATTCATTGCCAGTGTGTGCAGGAGAGATCTCAGTTTTATTTTGTATGTATGTCTGTTTAGCTATGGAGGCAATGTTTCTCTTTGTAACTTAGCTGGCCTAGACTCTTCTGCCTCAGCCTCTTTGTATGCATTGCCACATGCGGCCTGATTCTGTGTAAACCCCTGGTGTGCACCGTCATTTGTGGCTTGATACTATATACTTGATACTGCGGTACTCCATTCCTCTTACAACTCCAGTTTCATTTTATTTTTTAAAATTTTTGGTTTTTCAAGACAGGGTTTCTCGGTGTAGCTTTAGAGTCTGTCCTGGAACTCTATCTGACCAGGTTGGTCTTGAACTCAGAGATCTGCCTGCCTGTGCCTCCCCATTGCTGGGATCAAAGGTGTGCACCACCACATCCTGGCCTCTATGGCTAACTAGTGTGGCTGCTGGGATTAAAGGTGTGTGCCACCACCGCCCGACTCCGGTTTCATTTTAAAAGGCAAACTTTTCACTTCACATATGTACAAGTCAGACCCTCTGGTAACAGCTGCCCTAGGCATAAGACTGTAAGATCGGAGACTGAGAGTGGCTGGTGTAGTGGTTTGTGAGAAGCAGCAGGATCTAATAGAAACAGATTTTTGGACATGGCATTTGCAACAGGGAATTTTCACAGTGGGAAGTGAACACATTCTGTAAAGGAAGGACAGCAAACGAAGAAAAGGAAGGAGGGTTTGTTTTTAGCTCACACTTTCCAGAACATCTTTAAAATAGGATGCACTATTTTATATTCCTAGTTAATGTGAGTTTACTACAGTGAAACCTTGAATCGCAAGAGGGACAGTACAACAATAAAAAAGTCATGTTTGTCTACTCGGTAAGCACTTGTTGATGGAACGATCTCTCCAAGTGCTTACTCAGAAAACCTGGCTTCTGCAGGTTAGTCCTGGCATCTCTTGGGAAGAGAACAGTGTAGCACGAGTTCTAATAGGTCTTAGTAATAAAAACTTGGAGTCAGCTATCATGGGGGGAAGCAAGCAGCCAGCCACTAGCTCTTACCTCTACCTCAGATTGAAGGGGTCATCTTGTCCTCAGACTGCATCAGACTGACTGCTTCAGACTGCCTAGACTGCCCTGAGCTCCTGTTTCCTCCTGTCTTATATTCCTCTCTCCACCTCCTTAGTTCTGGGATTAAAAGAGTGTTACTCCAAGTGTTACTCACCTTTGTGTGAGCTCTGTTTATCTTTGACACTGGATCAATTTCATGCAGCCTATGGTGGCTTTGAACTCACAGAGATCCTTCTGCCTCTGTCTCCCCAGTGCTGGGGAGACAAGTACCACCACTTTCTGACCTCTGTAGTTAACTAGCATGGTTGCTGGAATTAAAGGTGTGTGCCTCCACCACCTGGCCTCTATGGCTGACTAGTGTGGCTAGCTTTGCACTCTGATCTTCAGACAAGCTTTATTTGTTAGATCATAAACAAAATATCACCGCAGAACAGCTCATCTTTATTACCATTAGTTCCTCTGCAATGAACACTGCAATTTGAAGCCTTTGAGTTCCATCATTGCAACAAAGCAGAGATAATTAACAAGAAGAGGCTCATTTTGTCTCTCAGTTCCTCACAGTCACTGCCTATGGGCCTGTGGTGAGGTACAGTGTATCCTGGTGAGGAGTAGTGGCTGAGAAAACTGCTTCCTCTGTGGCAGCAAGAAACCAAAGGGAGAGACCAAGTTCCACAGCTCCTTCCTTCAAGGACACAGCCCCAGTGACCTGATGTCCTTCCTCTTTGTAGGCCACAAATACTAATGATTTCATCACCCCAGCAGCACCTGTCTCAGGACAGAACCTTCAACACATGGCCCTTTGAGGGATCCTTGTCCAAACTGGGACAGCATCTGTCACACAAAGTCAAGTTGGTGATGGTGATTGAGACCCGTTGTCTTATTTTCATACCCTTAAATCTGTTCCATAGATTTCCTGATAGGAAGAGTCAAACTTAATTATAGTGTGATCAGTGGGTATTCATGGCACCCGAATATTTGCTGTCAAGGTATTTTATCCACTTTGAACACAGGTTGCCTGTCAGTTGGTGTGTGTGTGTTTCATGATGGGTGACAGGAAGACTTCGTTGATAAACTTCACACTTAATTTTGTCTATATTAATTGGCCTTTAGAGGAGACAGATGTGAAGTCACTGAAAAGCCCATCACAGTTGCATTCTCTGTGTCATGACAGACCTTGGCGTCATGTGTTATGCTTTTAAAAGATGGAATAATTGTTATTTGTATGCAGTTGTCATTATTCATTTGATCCTGCTAACTTGTGCAAGGCTATGTGCACAGCAATAAACCTTAATGTCTTTATATTTTTAAGATTTGATTTCCCTGGGGACTGGAGAGACGGCTCAGTGGTTAAGAGCCGCCACTCCTCACCAGGATATACTGTGCATCACCGTGGGCTCATAAACAATGACTGTGAGCAACTGCAACACAAGACAGTTGCTTCCAAAGGACATGGGTTCAGTTTCCAGCATCCGCATGGTAGCTCACAACTGCCTGTGACTCCAGGGCCAGGGGATTCAACACCCTCATCAGGCCTCTGTAGGCAGCAGGCTCCATCCATGTGGTGCATGGGCATATATGCAGGTGGAAGACCCAGTCACGTAAAATCATTAAAAGCATTTCTTAAAGCTTAAAACATAAGATTTCATTTCTCTCTATCAACCTGTTCATGATAAAGTAATGTTGTGAGGACAGATTAGAATATTTTACAAACCTTTCTTTTTTCCCTCTTTTTTTTTTTTTTAAATCCAAAGCTTGTATCTTTTGTTACCAGAAAAAGTTGAAACTAGTTTTGAGCCCAGTAAATGGGTAGACTTTTTACTTGGCACAAACTAGAAGGTAATAACAGCACAGTTGCCTTCTTTTGAGGAAGACATGATGGTTAGTATTGTTACCTTCACAAATACTGCTTGCATTCAGGATTACTTAAGTCTTCCCGAATCCTCACATTGAGTATGATTAAATTGAAATGACCGCCACTAGGGGGCGGCTTATGTCAGACAGAGACATCTCTACAGTAGAGTCTCCCCACAGGAGAGATTCTTGCCACCAAGGAAAAAAAGTACACAAGATTATGCTGCCACCCTCATTTTTTTTTTTTTTTGGTAAGAGGGAATAAATAAGCACCCACCTAGTCATGCACTCATGCATGAGAAGAAACTCAGAGAATACTGTGTGTGATGGAGAACTGTGAGAAAAAGGTAGACAGAGAAAGGTGGAACTGGACTGAGTTCCATGCAAGTCTGTGGTTTTTGTTTCATTGAAGCAATTGAAAGTATTTCCTACTCAGAAAATTAAGACTGGATAATTAAACCTGGGATAACAAGTGCTGATAGATCTAAGGAAAATTAAAAATATTTAAACCAGTTGGTGTCTTTAGCTTATGTTTTGGTGATAATAGTGTTTTTTTAATTTTTTAACTTTTTTTTTTTTGATAATAGTGTTTAGGAACACCTCTGATACTTTGGTAATGGTGTTTCAATTATGTTGTCTGCTGGTGTGTTTTGTGAGTCTGTGTGCAGTAGCACTATTGCTATACCAGCTGCTATATATATTGATTTTTCTTGCTGTGGATTATCATCTGATTTCTGTTGTCTTTTTTTTCCCCCAGTCCGGATGATATTGGCACCTGCTGGTACATACTCCTTTCTGGTTCCGTGTTCATTAAGGAATCCATGTTTCTTCCAAGGAGCAGGTATGGTGTGGACATACAATGCAATGATCTTGAAGCTCTTTCTGCAGAATTGAATTATTTTGCTGAATTAGTCTACTGATACAAAGCAAAGCAGGACTTTGGAGTTGTTACACATACATTTTTTGTTTTCTTGTTTAAAATGCTTATTTTATGTCGTAAGTACTGTTCTATTTTCCTTAGCAAGGGATGGGTGAAAACATGCTGGTGACATGAAAACTTGTTAAATGACTATGTCAGCTGTGTTTTGGGACATTTTTCTTCATAGCAAATAAAATTAGTTTCAGGTTGACTTTGGTAAAGAAGACTGTAACCTATGGGAAGCAGTGATGTAAACATCCGAGGACAGCTGAGAATGTTCATTGAGATCACAGGGGACTAGAAAGGAAGCCAGGAACTGTCTTCGACTTCACTGCCTCTAAGGACCATATGGCCTCTTGATTTTGCATCTGTCTGTAGATTGGCTTTGTACTTCTTCTCCCCATGGCTTTGGCGTGTGTATGCTGACTGTTGATTTATGACCTTGTGTTGCTAAGGCTTATGCTGTTTGACTGTTTCCCTTGGATACTTTAGGATAAAATATGATTGGCTCAGCTGGGGCAGGTACGCACCTCTGGTCCAATTAAATGTGGCCAGAAAGACTCATCTCCTAAAACGTGCCCACCCGTGTTAAGTTTAGCTACTGTGTTTCAGGAGAGATGTCCTTCTTTCTGATTATGAATTTATCACAAGTAGCCTTTTATTTGATTTTAACCAAGTATTTGATGTTATTAAATATTTCAGTTGGTTCAAATATAATCTCATCTTTCTGTCACCTAACTTCTTTGCATTCTGATTAAATTATTTTGAAAGGATGAGGGTAATGTTAAGAATTTAATTTAGAGACTGGGGAGAATGCTTGCTTCTCTTTCAGAGGATCCAAGTTCGATTTCCAGCACCCATGTTAAGTGTTCACAGCCACCTGTAACTCTAGCTCCAGGTGATCCAACACCCTCTTCTGGTATCGATGGGCACCTGTACTCATGTGCACATACGTACACACTGTGTCCTGCATGGCCTGGTCCTGGAAGCTTGACTAAGGTGATCAGGGAACAAAGAAAGCATGGACACACATACACCCAACAACCTGGACACCTTAGTGTGTTTATTATGTAGAGCACAGGAACGGGTCATTGGCTAGTATTGGGAGGATGTCACTGTAGGGGAGCAGCATCAGGTTGTAGTCATTTGTGAGGAGCAAGCTGCAGTTGCTAATTTTTGCACACACTGGTCAATTGTTTGTAATTGCTTTTACTTGGATCAAAAGGCTTTGCCTGTTCTCCATGAGTCTGAGGCATTGGTTCCTGTCATTCATACACATTCATTCAGTACTTCATCCACTCTTTACATATTCATTCAAGACTTCCTCTGCTCTCCACATTCTCACACAGACAGGCATTCACATTCATATAAATGAACAATAAACGAATCTTGAAACATTTATTTTACAGATGTGAACTTTTTTTACCATTAAAAAGTCAGATCCAGCCAGGCGTTGGTGGTGCATGCCTTTAATCCCAGCACTCTGGAGGCAGAGGCAGGGGGATCTCTGTGAGTTCGAGGCCACCCTGGTCTCCGGAGCGAGTGCCAGGATAGGCTCCAAAGCTACACAGAGAAACCCTGTCTTGAAAAAAACAACAACAAAACAAAACAAAACAAAAACCCCCCAAACCAAAAAAAGTCAGATCCAGTAAACCATAGAGATAGGTGGTTTTATGCTATAGACTAAGGCTGGCCTGGGTGAGGTGACAGAAAGGGGTGGGGTGGATCTGGAGGCTAAAGGGCAAGTAAAAGAAAGTGAGGTGTGCATGCTTCTTTGCCTTCTCCTTCCCAAGGTCAGACTGGCAAGCTTACTCTTTTAAGAAAATGATCCATTGGAGGTGTGAAGCCTGTTTGCTGTTCTCATAGTAGTGATAGTCATAATAAAGAGGCTGGCATTGGCATTGCTATCACAGTAGTGCTGTAATTGTAATGCTAAGGCAAGAAAATGAATTTTAAAAATCCCAGTAGCCAGAATTTTATACTGGACACGATTTGCTAAGGGCCATTTAAAACACTGCTATGTTAGCTCGTTGGATTTTGCTGTTCTCCTTCATGTGGCATTGTATAGACGGTTGCTCGGTTATGTAGGGATTTACACCTTCTAGGAGTCAGGGTAGAATGCTTGTGGGCTCTAGAAGTAACTCTAGGAATTCTTCCCTCTTTTTCAAACAGGATGTGACATTTCATCTCTTGGAATGTCTGACTTACATTTCTAAACTTGTACAGGAAAACCCCAGTTAAGCGCTAGCATATTCGGAAAAATTCTATGATTTTGGTATAAAAGAAACTACAAATGAACTAGCTATATACATTTTCAAAAGAAAAGGAGTCAGTTCCTTGAAATCTCATCTAAGATGGGCATGCTTTAATGTTGCAATGTTTTCCATTCTAAACCTCTTTGTGAATATGTGCGGTTATGTGTGTATGGGTGGTCCACATGAATAAGAAGTCTTTACATATAATTTTCTATCTTGTTTGCATTGCTTAAAGAATGTGTGTATATGTGAATATTGCTTCATAACATTAAAACATCTTTATAAAGGGTTACTTTTGATAATTTTCAGTGTCTGTAACTTTCCACAATTTAGTTCAGTAGTAGTGAAGGGTAAACTTTAAGTTTTGACCATGAGTCCTACTGTAATGATTGTGATTTGGAGTTCATGCACATTGAAGGACACCAGTTAGAGACCTTAACATTGCAATCATCATGATGTGATATCTGCTGCTCAAATGAAACTTGTAGACGAAGCTCTAGAGCACAGGGGGAGCCTGTGATGGCATCTTACCAGCCACCATCAGTCAAGTGACAGCTTGTCCCAACTCCTGGAAGGAACCCAGTGTTCAGAAAGGCTGCTGCTTTGAGAGAACAAGGACTTGCAGTCCAGACCTGTTCTGTGAGCACATTGGACTTGGAGTATTCTAAAGGATGACATAAGTTACTCTCTCTCTGGCTGCATGTCAACTGCTTGTGAGTCAGTATTTTCATGGGATGAAGGAGCCGTCTTTCAGACTGAGTGACAGGCCAGAGCTATATATAGGCTGTTCCTTCATGTTGCACCTGGTGGCATTTGCTCTCCCCGAGCTGTTTGTTTCCTTGGGTGATGTTGCCTTAGGAATAGTTCTGAGGTGGTTTTTAATGGGAAAGAGTCAGTGCAGTGGCACAGTGATAAAGGTTGCAGGGCAGGGGTAGTTCTCTCTCTAGAGAGCACTGAGGTTCGGCGAGGAGGAGATGCTAATAGCAACCCAGTTTTTATGAACCAGTTTTCAGTCAGTTCTTCTCACTTACACATCTTCTTCTTCTTTTTTTAATTTTCTTTTTCAAGTATGTTTATTTTCTTCAGGGGTAAAATTATTAAAAAGGTCAAGAAGTCAAATTAATTTCAATAATAGATATAAGTGCAACATAAAAACTTTATTTAACAAAAGTAACAGGTAAAGTAAAGCAGGCACTTATATTCAGAAAAGAAACAAGAAAGTTTGTCTTTAACGACTTCAAATAACCTTCTTGTGGTTGCATTTAACTGAGATCTGTTGCTGTGAAGAATACAGCTCCTGCATAGGTATGGATGAAAGATTTGTATATTTTTCAAGTATTAACTGAATACTACCTTACCCCTACATACACATTAAATCTGAAAGAGATTAGGTGATCTCAGCTGTACTTCACATGTGTTGTTCTTTTGGAAGAGGTCATCTGAAGAGAGAAGGATATGTGGTTTTGGCTCATGAATCATGTAATGAATTCATCCTATACTGTTGGAAACCCAGTCTCCTCCATTCCTCTTGAGACATCAGATGAGTTTTTGTTACTATTCAGAGATCTTTGGGTACCATGACATGCCTGTACTTGGAGTGCCCGTCGAAGTACTTGTCCAAGTAGTAGATGTGCTGTGGGCTATCCTGCTGGTGCCCAGAGGAAAAAATGGGAGCAGGAAACAGGGCACAACTATGGCTGGAACAGTGACTTCACTTACACATATTTTAAGGTCATATCCTCTATAAAACAGAGCCATTGGTATACAGTCTCTTTCTTTTCCTGCTTATGCTGTGGTCAGGGTAGAGGTTGTAAGCTTGATGGAAGAAAAGAAGCCCATTAACGTCATTAGCCTTAGAACTTGGGAGGTGCCAAAATGATTGTAATGAAAGCTAGGAACAAGAGTGTTTTAGTTGGGGTTTCTGTTTCTATGAAGAGACACCATGACCACAGGAACTCTTACAAAGAAAAACATTTAATTGGGGTGGCTGGTTTCAGAGGTTCAGTCCATTAACATCATGGTGGGGAGTATGTTGGTGTGTAGGCAGATGTCGTCCTGGAACAGTAGCTGAGAATCCTACATCTTGTAGGCAGCATCAAGTCAACTGACACACTGGGCAGTATCCTGAGCATGGGAAACCCCAAAGTGCATCTCCACAGTGCACCCTTCCTCCAACAAGGCCATACCCATCCCAACAAAGCCACACTTAATATTGCCACTCCATATGAGATTATGGAGGCCAGTTGCATTCAAACTACCACACAGAGGCTTCCAGTATATGGTGCTTAGCATCTCATTTACTAGGTTAGTCTGTTTAGGTGCCTTAAGTCTGCTTATAATGGGCACCATATTGTTAGTGAAGGACCACCAAGATTGTGGGCTTGTTTCATGTATGTTGGTTATTCTGTCTTATTTCAGATCATGTTTGATGGAACTCAGATTTTTAAGCATGTTTTCATGTTTTGTGCCCCCCTCCCAAACTTGAATGAAAACTTGCATTGTGTGCTGTAGAGTGATCTCATACCAATCTTGTAGTATATGAAGGAAGCCTGTCATGTAACTTAGTACATGTTTGGAAAGGTGAAGGAATTGTATATGAAATATAAAAACCTGTCTTTTGTCATGGAACAGGTAGGTAGTGCAGTGGAAACCAACACAGAAAACATG